AAAAAAAAAAAAAAAAAAACCTCTGGGGACTAGATCAATTGATTCTGTTGCAAAGGGTTCGGAAAAGGGGTTGGATGCGCAGTGGCTGTAAATGTCGGACTACTACTACTACTCCGAAGCATCCACCACACAGCCCAACACTTCGCCTGTCCCTTTCAGCGACAACCTTATCCATACCACTTCATTCCTGATTTGCTGCGCACACAAGATATATGGCATTTCTGACCGTAACACATCTGAACATCATGGGATTACGGCAGCCTGTCGTACACTCCCCAAGAAAAAAGATTAGGACGCATCTAAGCATCATTCATCATGGGATGACAGCATTCTTCCAGCCCCCACGAAGAAAAAATAAAATTTAGGAAATTCCCAAAGACAATATTCCGAGATATACTGTTGCCTAGAGCTGTGCACACAAGTTCAACTGACTACCTCCCTCCTCCCCGAGCTGTTCCACGATCCCAATTGACTACCTACCTTCTCCCCGAGCTGTTCCGCAATCCCAAGACAGCAGCACACCCATTGCCTTGCCCCCACAGCGAAGCCAGGCGGAAGGAAAACTCAGCAATATTCACAAAAATGCCAGATCCAGTACAGTGCGACATTTCCAAGTGCATGACAGAGCAAAAGAAAAAAAATAAGAAAAATATAGCAAGCCGCCACTCACCTCCCTGCAAAGTAAATATGCACCCCGTCTCCGGCCAGTCTCCTCGACACGTGTGATCAAATCCTCGAGAAAAATAGCCAGCCACCACTCACCTGTGAAAGGATTCGTGCTGCAGACACCCCAGTCCCAGTCCCAGGGTCCCGATCGAATCCCAAGTCCCAGGGCCGTCCGGTAGGGTAGGCCGTAGTGGCCAGAGGCGAAAAGTGTCGTAGTCGGTCCGTGTCAGTACCGAAACATCGTAGGTCGGTAGGAGTCCGTCCGGTACCCGACAAGAAAGAACAGTCCAGAAGCGTCCAGTCCAGTCCGACAGTCCCCTGTCCAATTTTGCAGCATGTCCCAGGAATGTCCGGAAGCTACCGGACCGACAAAATGATTGCAGCAGACAGGCCGCGGCCGACCGGCACCGGTCTTTAGCGGGCCAAGCCAAGCCAAGCCCAGCGAAGCCAAGTCCTATATTTAGCTGCTACAGTGCAGCGGCTCATCACTTCTTCAGTTGTGAGATGTGAAAGCGCTGCCGCTGCTTGTGCGTCAAGGCAACTTGGGCAGGGTGCGCCCGATGAAGGAAGAGGGCGCTTGAGAGATACTCCATAGCTAGGCTAGCGGTAGAGCAGGAGGACGGCGGCCATAGCCACCAAGGTGTAAGCTACCTGAGTGGGTGTATCCAGGGTAACGATCTAGGGTACGGAGAAAAGAGGGAGTGAGGCAGAGCCAGTCAAGTCAGAGAGAGAGAGGAGAGGGGAGAAGCCAGAGCAGCTATCTGGTTGAGATCCGTTGTGGGTGTGTGTGCGGCAGAGCCCTGGGAGACGAACATTCTTGTATATTGATAATAATATTGGAGACGACATCTTCAAGTGTTGATTGTATCTCGATCTGGCTTCGCACGTGTGAACTCTCGTGTGAATGTTCATTGATGTATGCGAGGTTGGACTTGACGAGTACTTGGTTCATTTCACCTGCCTGCAAAGTAAACATGCAGCCTGTCTCTGTCTCCGCCCAGCCTCCTCTACACATGAGATCAAATCCTTGAGAAAAATGGCCATCCACCACTCTCCTGCCCGCAAAGTAAATATGCAGCCCGTGTCTCTGCCCAGCCTCCTCTACACATGTAATCAAATCCTTATCGACCTACCATCCCCCGAATAATCCAGCTGGAATCTGTCGCAGACATCAGAAAACTACAACACGGACCTGCACGGAACATTCTTCTCTCCTTTCTCAGGCTCTCTGCAACACCAAGATCTCTGACAAAGTAAATAATAAAAGTTTATGAAACTCACTGTTTCTTTTTTCGGACCTCTGGGCCATAAATTTGATAACAAGAAGAGGACTATGTGCGGCACATTCACTTTGCCTTCCACACAGCGACGACTTCGAGTTTACCTCATTAAGTCCAATACACCTGAAGCGCACTGCAGACTCAATCTTCTCGTACGACCTAACACACCTGAAGCGCACTGCAGACTCAATCTTCACGTGCGACCTTCAGAGTGGTTCTACCCGCCAGGCACACTCGATATTCTGCAGAAACTTGGCACATCTCTTCGGAATGGTTCTACCCACCAGGCACTCTATATTCTGCAGAAACAAGGCACATCTCTTCGGCACATAATCTGGCTGGACTCGTCCCCGCTTCGAGGCGCACCAAAACAACAACATTCATCCAACCAACCGTAATTGCCTTCGAAAACAGTGAAAATTGGGCTTAGAATATCATATAGAAGAGAGCGCATATAAAGAGACTGTACTTACTTGAGGTAAAGAGAGCAATACATAGATGCCTCTGAATTCAGCATAACCTGTGTCAAAAGACTCGAAAGAGTCAAAACATATGCCTACAATTAGTAGTAGTGGTAGGTAGGCAAGTGCGCGGTGAAATTGAGACAAGAATACAGCTTTAAAAAAAAAATAAAAAAAAATCAAGATCCCATACATATCGTATATCATCCACCCCATCAATCGTAAACGTGAAGTTCGTGAACACCATTTACATTACACAGACCTCTCTGAAACACAAAGGCCGCTTCCAACAAAGGTGCTCCCTCCACAATGAGGATTATAAAAACACCAAGGTACCTGGCCACACTGAACGCCCAGATACCTTCAACAGAACGCGCCTCCAAAAGGAATTCCACAGAAGGCTTAGTAAAACACCAATACACAGAAGGCTAATGCGAGAGTGCGCACCCATTTGCAGGAGAAGAGGGGTTCGGACCCCCTTACCTTACATTTGCAGGGCCCGATTCCAAGAAAATCGGCAGCGGAGATTATCGTTGATCATCCTTGTTTCCAAAAAACTACACGTAACACAAATATATACTAAGCGGTCGGCAAACAGAGGCTAATACTTGTCTAGCATATATTATTTACGAATAAAAAACGTTTTTCAACGTTTCACCCCGACTGCCACAGAAAGCACAAAAACCATCCCAAAGAACCAATTACCCCATCGTACACTTCCGCGCGAACCGACAAGCAAAAACAATCCAAGTCCGTCCCTTTCTTAGACAAACTCGGCAAATGCAACAAGAGCCTCTGAAGCAGGGAATTCATCAGCACAAACAGCCAGCAGACCAAGCTTGCTGCCTGTGCTGTGCCACTGGGTGTGGCTGCAACAAACCCACCCACCAAAGTCTTCCCCCTGCCCTCTCCTAGCCAGCCATATCCAAAGAACACACTAGAGACTTTGTGTGCGTGAATTTAATTCTGTTCAGACCTACCGAGAAAAAAAATTGCAGATCAAGATCCAGCGTGGAACAACCAACGGGATTGTCTTGATCTCGCAGATTAACAGCAATAAGAAAAGAGTACCGCCGTAGGCCCGCAGTAATCAAGGTTTTCTACCTGAGCATCGTTCGTGACACAACACGATCGAAATCCAGTTACGTCATCGCAGTGACAGTGTGCAAAAGCGACCCAGCCCCACATGCTTCAAGATTTGCTGATGCCGCTCTGACCGCTATACATACTGTCCGACATTCCACATGGTCCATTGACTAAGCGAACAGCTGCTTCCATCAGGACACATGGTCGATGCAGCAAACGCTCAGCTTACCCACACCGGTGATAGGGGTACCAACCCATTCATGGTTCGCTGGAATCCGTCGGAAACCCAGCAACTGCACAGGCTGTGCTTGCTGTGGGAGGCACTGCCGGCGCTTATGCAGCCAGCCAAGATGTGACTTAGTCGCAGAATGTCGCCGTCTTCCACCAGAATGATCCACAAAGACAGCCCCACTTTAGGCACAAAAATGCCAATCGAGCAATGAACAATTCTGCCAAACCAGCCCAAATTCATCCGGTCCTACCTCCGCCTTTGCTGATCCGGTCCTACCTCCGCCTTTGCTGAGGCTCAGTGCCACGCATCATGTTGAGGAATTCCTCATAATTAATTTTACCATCCTGGAAAAGGAGACAACGGGGGGTCGATCGAGTCGTCAGCACCAACAAGTCGCGACAACAACACCACAGCGCAATTCCACGACCCAAGCACAATGCAGTTTTTTGAGTAAGCGGACTTATTTAAGAGCTTGCCGAAGCAAATCAATGCAGCAACGAGAGAGCTTCTTTCCAATCCAAGAGCAATGCGTAATACGCTTTTGACTGGTAAATACTTTGTCCCACATATTACACAACGCATCGAGGATCCCTCCATAACAGCTGGGGACTTGGAAAGAATCGAATATGTACATGGACGTAGATGAAACATGTCAGCAGCCCTGCCCCACAGGAGCCCCCCCTCAACACAAGCAGGCATAGTGATATTGCCTACTCGTTACGACCACATTTTTGCTTGCTCCTGACCTGCAGCCTACCCCACAGAAACCCTCTGCGCACAAGAAGGCATACGCATATTCCTTACCATGACCATTTTTGCTCGCTGCTGACACAGGACCAGACAGCGAGAGACAGCGCGAGAGAGAGAGAGAGNGAGAGAGAGAGAGAGAGAGAGAGAGAGAGAGAGAGAGAGAGAGAGAGAGAGAAGAGCAGAGCCTGGGGAAGTTGAGGAAAGAGGAGAGAGGGATACGGTAGAGCAGAGAAAAGGGACGGGAATGCAGATATGGAGACAGATGGACTTACATAGAGAGAGAGATGGAAGAGATGAAGAGAGATTGAGAGATGAAGAGAGAAGAGAGAGATGAGAGACGGAGAGAGATGGAGACAGATGGACACCGACAGAGAGGACAAAGATGAACAGAGATGAAGAGATGGAGAGAGACGGGATCCCACCCACATCATCTGATAAAACATCCCCCCCCCCTCCTCCCCCGCCTTAAAGCCCCCAACCAATGAAAAGTCCATTCGGCTCCATTGGCTATTCATTTTCATTTTTCTTTTCGCGGCTGGCCATTTGGTGTCCACTCTATGGATTGGTTGACAAGTTTCGCTGAAACATATTTTGACATCTTTCACGAAGACCATGAGCAAACCCCCCTGCAATTTAGGCCTCTCTGATAACCACTTTTCAGACATGAAAACACCTGCATTCAGGATACCAGAGATCTGATCAGAATGTGTCACACTCCAAAAAACTCCACAAAGGTGTAATAGGTCCCAAGAGCAACTCACTCTATCTGTGTCACACTCTTGAACAATCTGCTTAATCTCACTCTTATCGCCCATCTTGTTCTCCAGCAGCACAGCCTCTAGCTCGTCAACGGTGATAAATCTGTCGGCAAGTTGACAGAAACAAAGCAAACAATTTAAATTTGAAACCACTGTAATAAACGGTACAGTCCCTGCACAAGGATGACATTCTTCTAAAAAAAAAAAAAAAATAATACTAATAACACTAATAATACTTAATTATACTAATAATAATAATTTAATAATTTAATAAATAAACCACTGTCATATGCAGCTTACCTCGATCAAAGGCCAGCTCACTTTGAAAACACCGATGACAAGGCGGTGGCTAAAAGAGAGGTCCTCGTTCTCGTGATCCCATCACCAAACCGCAAGTACTTTTCCGTCGAATTTTCTGCAATGTCCCCATGCAGTCTCCCTGTCTGACTGGAGGCATGGACCTGCCATTTCTTGCTGTATCCATTCGCTCGCAAAACGATCGCGTTCGTGACCTGTTTCGGCACTCTCCGTGCCTGGCTGGATGCATGGCCCTGCCGTTTCCTGCGCAATCCTTTCGGGCAAAACGGCCGCGTTCATAACCGTTTTTTTTTTTGCGCGGATACTTTGAACGCAAAACAGTGGGTCAGTACATTCTGTCAGATGCGGAGCCGGCACGGCCGAGCCATAGAAAAATGGCTGGGAGAGGTACTGGTCCTATGACGCTGGCGACGGCAACAACAGCAAACAGTACACTACCGTCTTCTCCCGAACATAACGCACCCTAAAAATGAATGTATACAAGCCATATTTCCGGCAAGATACAGCCAAAATGAGGGTGCGTTGTGTTCGGGGGAAGACGGTAGGGAGGTGCCGACAGTGGTTACACCGCGTTTTCGTAGAACGGTAGAACCTGTGTATTTTGTTTTGGAAATTTGCACCAGATGCAAATCCAGGAAATCATGGCACCATTTCCATTTCTTTCCCTCGTATCTGCCCAATTACAATGGCATTTCTGACAGCAACTTCATTCTCTCCTTGTTCGTGTGCTTTTCCGTCCTTCGGCGGCCCACAAACTGTGCGATAGGAAAAGCTTGATGAGCTTGTCAGACTTTGCCTTGTGTTTTTTTAACTTTTTTACATATGCCAGGTCACGCTTGTCTGAACGTGAAAGTACAGACCACATCACACACTCTCAACACAGCGGGATGCTGCTGTGATCAGTCTGATGTGAACTACATAGGCCGCTTTTTGCGGCAATTTATCCGCAGCCGTGCTCGCAGACTACAACAATTTTGGGGTCAACCTTGCTGAAACTTTCTTCCTCCTGACTTTCCCTTCCACCTTGTCTTCCCTCGTCTCTTTCCTCTTTCTCCTCTCTCCTCCGCTCTTATTTTTCCCTCTCTCTTGCGCTCTCTCCCGTTTCTAGTCTTCCGAATGGTTTCCCAAACTCATCATGTTAAAGTCACGCTCATGTTACGACCCTACTCTCCATCCATAGTGAAAAACTCAAAGTTGGAAGAAAAGCAAGACGTGTTGAAATTCAAAAGAAGAGACGGCGAGAGATAAAGAGTAGAATAGAGAACACATAATCAAAGACAAAAAGTACACAATCTACACCAATGTCTTCTCACTCCTTTCTCCGCATCCCTCTTCTACCTTACTCGTAATAATTAATTAATACAACAAATGAATGGCTGAACAGTGAACATGAATCATGTGCGAGTGTTTCCCCTCATTGCAAGTAACGCAAGAAACCACCTTTCTGCCATAACCTCACTTCTTCCTTCTTCATAGCACCTTGGGCTATGGCAGAACAACCATCCTCATCATGGACGTCAAGAGAACCACACAAACGCAACTGTGCTTATCCCATCTCCTCCCGCCATAGCCACACTCTCAGAAGATGTCCAAGACAAATCAAGACCCACACCAACTCCTTGATGAAGCGCCAACCAAGCAAATGGAGATATCCAAGGTGAGTCTCTCTATGCCGGTCCCTCTCACTCGCTCTTCCTGACCTCCTACTCCCTACTACTGCCTTTCTCCTTCCTCTGGTACTGGGCGCCACCCTACTACCTCTTCTCCTCCATGGCCAAGGAGGTCCTCTTCTTTGCCCTGATGCTCCTCAGCTCTTCCAACGCTCCGCCCAACTTCTCCCTCTGGGCAGAGCAGCAGCAGCATGGCTGGCAGGTAGGATAACGCTCCACTCTTTCTGCCCGTATGATATACTCTATATCTACCTTCACCTCCCTCACAGCTTCACTTAGGCTCCAGTACCGGGTGACTACGCAGTGTGCTAGGCCTACCAGGGTTACAGCCCTTCAGCAGGAACAAAACCTGGACGTCTACCTCAGGGCCTGAATCTAGTCCACTAGACATCTAGATTCGGGCCTGACAACTCATGCGCTTTTTGTAAGCTCCCTGCGGCCAAAACCGGACCTTCGTTGGGCCTGACCGGGCTACTGGAAAATCCTTGGCAGGACTCGACTTGCACGTGTTTATGGATTGAACGAGAAACCGTCAAATTTTCCAGTGGTGTTGAAGGAATGGCACTGAATCTAGAAAATGAAAGTGTAGGAATCGAGGTTTTTCTGTCCTTCGGGACATCCGTTAAAATTGGAACGATACAGAGAAGATTGCATGGCCCCTGCGCAAGGATGAAAAAAAAAAAAAAAAAAAAGGAATCAACGTTTTTCCTCCACTACTTGGTCCCTGCCTGCCCTAGCCTCTACCGGTAGCCCATCTCGTCCCAATTTCAGTCTTGCCCCTGCTGTTTCCTTATTCCTACTCTACCGCGCTCAGGACACATAAAACACAGGGTAAGCACATGGTTAGGTATTCTGCATAGCATTCATCACACACACAGCAAACTAACACAGCACATGAAAATCTCAGCAAATCAGTCCAGCAAGCAGCGATACTCAGAAAACAGCAGAAATCTCATACTGATTCGGTGCGGGTCATTGCACGCATGTGTATTATTTGCTGCCGACAATTACAGAGTATATTACTCTTCTATCAGTTCTAGCCAAATAAGGAGACATCTCATCGAGATAAAATTTTGGTACCAGCAGAGATATACACCGCCACCTCCCAGACCAGAGTAGCTTGGCCATCGTTCTGCAAGGACCTCAGCTTCTGCCGCACCACTTCGAATGAAATAGCTATCTACGACGCACCCTTCATGCAGCCTATGACGCACCCTTCATGCAGCCTGACCACTCAAATGAGCACCTACTCTTATCTAACTGTTATGCACCTACTCTCAGATTTCCTATGAAAGAGAGAACACATATCAAAACCTCGATCCATGGACTTTCCCCCACTTTAAAGCCCTGACAGCCTTGGGGGTGTCTCCAACAGGTGCAGCTCCCCGCACTTTCTTTTCATTAAACCACTAGTACCTTTGTCGTTTCGGAAAATTGCGGGCCTCCGACCTTTCAGGAGGCCGAAACGAGACGACAGCTGCCGATTAGATTTATCAATGGCAGCCGTCGTCGGGCCCGTCCTCCGAATTCTTCGGGAGCTGGCGTTTTCCCTCATTTCTGAAGCGGCAAAGGTACTAGTTTAAATGAAAATAGAAAAAAAAAAATGATCCACGGAGACTCACCCGCTTCTGTCCTTGTCGAAATGAATGAAGGCACTAACGATGTGTTCCTCCTTCAGGAATCTGTTTAGATGCATTGTTGCCGCAATAAATTCTGTGTAGTCGATGGTACCATTTCCATCCACATCCGCCTGTGGACATCATGAAACAACATTCCATCACCAAAGTGTTAGTTTCTCACAATGAAAAGATGAGCACTGCAGAGATCGTCATGTCTCTCTCACTCATCTCCCCCCCCCCCCCCCCCTCCCACACACACACACACACACACACACACACACACATATGTGCGTGTGCACACACACAAACACACGCACACAGGCACAAACACATGCACATAGGCACAAACGCAAGCACATACACACACACACGGACACACACATGCACGCACACACACATGCACGCACATACACATGCATGCACGCTCTGCACTGGCATATCCAAAAAGGCATGATAGCATTCAACACAACAAAAAGAATCACCTCCAGATCAAATAAAAAACTCTGACCTGAACAATGGAAAATTTGACAAATAACTTAAGAAGATGTTGGCACACATGAAAAGGAATATGGGTTCGCAGTACTTCGTACAAAAAGGGGTTGACCTGGTTATCTCCTCGTAAATAAGGGCAAACTTACCGATTGCATAAGGGCTTTGAGCTCGGGCTCTGACAAATGCGAGCCCTGTTTTGCTAAGCCTGCCTTGAGTTCTTCATAGGTGATTGTCCCACTGCCATCAACGTCCATAGCCCTGAACATCTCTTTCAAACCGTCTATCTCCTCGGACGACATATTCTGGGCAATAACCTGCAGAATTCCACCATCCAGCCAAGGAATGATTAGTAGCTAGCCAAACACAACTAGCAAAATGTGAAGATCACTCAGAGCAGCATCCTAGAAACATGGACAACCCAAGAAAACCGAGAGCCCTCCCCAACCACTGATACGTCAGAATGGCCCCTATAGTACAATGCCAAGTGGCGGTGAACTCATTTTCTTGGGCGGGCTCTTGTCATGCCTGCAGGGCTCTCTCTCTCTCTCTCTATCTATCTATCTATCTATCTATCTATCTATATACATATATATATACAGTCAAACAGAGCTGCCCGGTTAACCGTAGGCAGAGAGGGAGAAGAGGACAACAAACAAGGGGCCGTGACAAACTGTTTCGTCCGAGTTTCACTAACTGACTCATCAGGAGGCTGAACCCTCAACAGTCTGCAGAATCCCCTAACTGATTACACTGTAAGTAATAATCCACCTTAACCCCGGCTGTGGTTAAGCATCAACGACTGCCCGACAACTGATACCCTGAGGTGGGTATATATATATACATATGTTGTATGTGTGCATGTGTCTCTGTGTTTGTGTCTATTTATCCACAAGGATATGCATTGATCACCCAAGGCGATGTGAGCTGAGATATCAGCCACCTTGCCTGCATCTTGGTTTGCACACTGTCAAAACCCGAACGGGAGAGATCAAAGCAGCACGAGAACAGTTGATTGTTTCTCTAACTCGAAGCAACCCAGCACAAGTTGGGCGTGAAGGCCAACAGCTCTGTGGCCTTGCCAATGATCAATCGGAGTGCACAACAGTTTCCAAGTGAATATTGACACGGCCTAGGAATCGTCAAATTAACCACGAGACAACCAGACACAGGACCTTGCTGCAATACTCTCCAAACGCATAAAACAGTGTATGCATTCACTTAGGAGGTCGGCGGAAGATGAACACACCATTTTTTTTTCTCATCTGCACAATTGGCAACCGGTGGAGTGAGGCTCATACCTTGAAGAAGGCACAAGCCTATGTCAAACATGCAAAGCCCACGCACACAGTGGAGGATTGAAACGACTGAACCACGAACGCGGGAAACTACCGGTCTAGAAGTAGTCATCACAGCAAGTGGAATCGTTGCTAACAAAAGAGTCCCGATCCACAAAATTTAACACTTACGGTGACTTACCATAAAAAACTGTGCTTGGGTCTCAAGGGAGGTCCAAAAACTTATAAACATGGGCGTAAAACCGACTGAAAAAAAAAAAAAAAAAAAAAAAAAAACCGACACGACCTATGACACTCTTTTTGCCGAGGCTGGTTCCCTCTGCGCGCCAAGCTTTGCCGACGCACCAGCGCAGCATTTGTCTTCCGTTTGGCGGTGGCACCACCAGCCGTCAGGGTACCGTAGCCCCAAGCCTCCGAAGACCCCAGACTGTTGCATTATCGATTTCCAACGTTGTCTGGGAAAGGTAGTGGAGGTTTCAATGATAATACTAAAGAGGTACCTTTATCGTTTTTCTAGCTTGTTAGGATCTACTGAACAGTGAACACCATGCCTAACTGTCCGGCCCGACCAGACAGCCAGTTCCTGCCCAACCAAGTGTACAGATGGCAACCTACCTTCTTTACCCAAAAACAACGTACGGTCATTATTGCTGTATTTAGACCGACAGATACCCCAAATACAGCTATAATGTCCGTAATACCCCATGTTGTGTTCCCGTGAAGAAGGTAGTAGTTTATCACTCAAAGTGTTTTTCGGACGTCGTCGCATCATGTGCTCGGTTCTATTCCAGTTATTCGTTATTCTTCCCTCTCCTCATACTGATGCAAAAGGAACCTGGTCCAACGGTGACAACAGCGCATGCGACCTCACCGAGTTCGAGGCGTTTCGGTAGAGTCGTGAAACCAGACCATATCAGGTAGCGCTGGTGATTCATTAGACAGGTCTGAGACACAAGCCTTGCGCACATGGCTCTCCTATCTTTCACCTTGTTCATGAACCCGTACCCCCTTTCGACCACTCCAACTTTATGAATCCGCACCCTCCCATACACCCTTTCGACCACTCCAACTTTACGAATCTGCACCCTCCCATAACCCCTTTCGACCACTCCAACTTCATGAATCTTTATAAATCCGCACCCTCCCATAATCCCTTTCGACCACTCCAACTTTATGAATCTTTATGAATCCGCACCCTCCCATAAGCCCTTTCAACCACTCCAACTTCATGGATCCACACCCTCCCATAACCCCTTTCGGCCACTCCAACTTTATGGATCTGCACCCTCGTTCGACGACTTCAATTTCATTCTGGACCTTGAAGAAAGGTTGGCATTCACTGACCTTCAGTGCAAGCTTCTTCAACTTGTTCGCGGCAGCGAACTTCTTCAGCCTAGTTAACACAGCACTATCGAGCGGCCTATCAGGTGCATCACCATCAACCTTGATCCACGGATGACGAAGGACTTCGTGGGCCGAGATCCTTTGCTTCGGATCCTGCGTCAACATCTTCCGGACCAGGTCTTTCGCACCAGAGCTGATGCTCGGCCATGGATTTGACTGGAAATCAAGATGGCCCTTCACAATGGCATCAAAAATGCCCTGCTCACTCTCTGCAGACAGGTTTCAAACAACAAAAGCAAGAAGAACCATTTAGGTCTGGTAGGTTGTCCCCCGAAAGTTGCAGCGCATTGACGGCCACGTCAGAGAAAAAACGACTGGGAAACGTGTGGGTGGTTTAAAACTTTAAAAAATGCAATAGTGGCACCAGACAGAAAAAACAAAAGAATCACTCCGCCAAAACCGCCAACAAAATAGCATCAAAGTTAGCCCTGCGCGCTCTCTAGAAACAGGTTTCAAACAAAAGCAATGGCAGAAACCATAACAGGAAAAAGACAGAAAGTATAGTTGCGGCGCACCTGTGCAGTTCGCCGTGTGGTACCGTGCGCGGAGCACCGTGCGGGCATCAACGATCTGTGCGCACCGCCTGCATATGCGCAGTGCAGAGCGCCGCGCTGTTTTTGGGTGCGTGTACAATTTTTTTTTTAATTTTACGGGGGCAAGAGCGGGGGAGAAAAGAATTCATGGACACCGTTTCATTGATCAGTACGGGTCTGTACCTGACAAGAATGGTCAGTTGCCCTCATGGTAATTCACGGAGAGCATTTTTCGCAAGCACAGCAGCAACCCTGAACATGAATGTATCGGGCTGGAATTGTCAGTTGTATGCATTCAAAGACACAAGGAGGCGTCATAGGGATTCAGCAGAAGCACGGTTTCGAATGCCGCGCAAACCCACACAGCACGAATGCTCATCATGACTGTATCTATCCTCTATCATCACCTCTATACATTCGAGTACTCGAGGACTCTGCCGCCCGTAGTTCACTAATAGAAGAAAAAAAAAACTCTGCGCCTGACAAGAACAATCACTTGCCCTTGGTGTAATTCACAGAAAGCATATTTTCCAAACAAGCCACCACCCCTGAACATGAATGCATCAGGCTGGAATCGTCAGCTGTATGCATTCGAAGGCACAAGGAGCCGTTATGGGGATTCACGGGAAGCATTGTTTGGGGTGCAGACGAACCCACATAGCACGAACGCTCATCATGACTCTATCTAACCTGTATCATCACCTCTATACATTCCAGGACTCGAGTTCCACCGACTCGTCAGAGTTCATGACAAACTGACTGTTTCGTCGGAGTTCCACCGACTCGTCAGGAGGCTGAACCCTGTATATACCCATGAACTGTTGCAAACAGACCCGAGTTGTAATGCTGATGCAATCAGGTGAACAAAAAACAACCCCCTAAGTTGCCTTTGGCCCGTCAGTTTTATGACGATACCTCGAGGCTCGCGCCCTTCTCCAAACAAAAGGTGAACAAATACAATAATAAATTAACAATAGGAACCTTCCAAGCAATACCTTTTCAGAGAACACAGGCAACCAATGCCGCAGATGACCAATCTTGACATAGCAGAAAAGCAAGGAAGAACCCACGACGTACCAGCATAGAATGGAGGCATCCCAGAGAGAAGGATATACAGGATGACCCCAGCACTCCACACATCAGCTTCAGGACCATAATTACGGCCAAGAACCTCGGGCGCCACATAATACGCACTCCCGACAATATCTGTAAATTTCTGCCCTGCAAGACACAAATCAATACAAGTCGCCATTCAGTAAGTTAAACCATCTCTCTCTCTCTCTCTCTCTCTCTCTCTCTCTCTCTCTCTCTCTCTCTCTCTCTCTCTCTCTCACACACACACACACACACACACACAC